GTCTTTATTTCACAGTTAAAATATATGTTTATTAAATAAAGTCTAATGTTACAACTAATCATGGATCCCTTTAAAAACAGACAAATCACACCTTCTCTTAATTGAAACAGGAGTAAAATGAACACAAACATCCCTAAAAATGAAAATATGTTCTTGTCCAAAGGAGACAAAAGTTAATAAAAAATGCCTTGTGTTGTAGGAATGTTATGCTTTAGCTGCTTTTCCTTTAACATTTTAATTAAGAGCAAAATGTATTTTTGCGACGTTAATTTCCTCTAACGTCTTTATAATTTTCTTCAAAAGTTTCCTGGAAAGAACTAACAGTAATTTGGTAGTAATTACAGAGGAAATGATTTCATTCTAAGTAAATAATTAGACATTTATGGTTTGTCCACAAAACAGGATGCCTGTGAGCATGTTGCTTGTAAAGCTGTCTGCTGTGCACTATGACCCTAAAGGTTTGYGGGGTTCTCTCTGATGGGTACATATGGAGAATACAATTCAAATTATACATTATTCTGGAAAGTGCAAGGAAGTAATTCAAAAACTACAAACCTTCACTATTACACAAACAGACTGATTTATTTTGCTACGCTACGAGTCACTCCATAACCATGATATATCTTTAAATAAAATGAAAGAACATTTAATGCCCTGATAAGTGCAGCCAGAAACAAACCTAACAAGCAATWCAGTGTTTACACATTAAAGCTTTTATTTCGCCTCAACATGATTCGCAGGCAATGCGAGGATTAAAAAATGRTTTTAATTGTTTTTGACATTAACATATTTTCTTTAGATAGAATACTCTGTTTCCAAGCAACATATTCCATTGTAATGTTTGTGGAGTTACAGAAAATTACATTGTTGAATTGACACTAAAGAAAAGTAAAAACCTAACCTTGATACTCCTAACTACACATATGTCTGTCCTGTAGGGGAACACCCTGATAGACTGCCTCAAAGACAGGCAGACACTCTTATAGCTCCAGCATAGTTTCTCATTTCAAAATTATCTGTTTTCATGCATTGCAGAACTGAAACGTACACGAAAGTCTGCAACATTTGCTCCAGTCTACCTTRAATGTCACCCAGCCAATTTTCCAGTAATAACTCTGGGAAACGAACAAATTCAGCTGTTTTAAAATGTGTTTTTATTTTGTTTTTTGCTGACCTATATATCCTTTTCCACTGGCTTGACAAAAATACAGTTATGGCCAATTATATAATGGTGTAGACAGGTAAGAAAAAACTGATTTCTATTTTTTTCTGTAAACAAACCAAAGATTTTTTTTTTCTTCGCTTTCTGTCTGCTCTGCCTGAGCCCCAGTTCAGACATTTCTACAGGTATAAGAATGCATCTCACCCAGAATATTTCCAACTGTTAAAAACATATTCATAAAGTCCTGACCCAGTTCTGCTCTCATTCTCCACATTTTATCCAGTGCTCCTGTGTGAAAARGGCAAACATCATAGCAACAGCCAAATTGTTTACACAACGTGTTGTCAGCGTTTAGTGATGGAAGGAGCTTCACACGTTCATTCTCAATCACAAAAACTGGTTAGTAAGGTACAATTTTAAAATAATTACTAAGTCGCCAGTGAATAATGCACATTTTCCTAAGCGGYCTTGTTCAATAAACTGCTTTTACTTAAAGGACAGCTCAATTCACCATGAGCATTCACATGACTGAAAGAGTTAACTCTTCGATGGATCTTACACATATAATCCCCTGACGACAGCGTGCTCCCACCCAGGATCAAACAAACAGGGTGTGGGTCAAACATTGTCAGGGTAGGATGAAGAGTTTGTGCCTGCCTGCTGTCCTCGTGTGCTGAGCTTTTCTAAAAGACATGACAGTGCAGCACACCTGCCACACCTGTATGTCTGGAATGTGTACAGCTTACACTAATGTTTCTGTCTGCATGCAAAAAGGATTTATGAAGGATTTTTTATTTATTTACTTTTTTCAAATCACAACCCCAACTGTGCTTTTTTTTCTACATCTTAAGATTTATTTATTTGTGTAATTATAAATATGTTGAGCAATGATAGAAGGATCCTATAATTACAGTGTAAAATAAAAGTGCTTTCCTCCAGCACTGTTTGACTTTTACGATACAGTGAAGGCATGAGAATGAAAATAAAAGGCACACACCTGAGAACCTGAAGCTCCTCTTTTGAGTTCTGCAGCTCATCAGAAAGTCGCCTCCACCTCAGCAGTGCCTTCAGGTCAAATTGTTCCGTTCTCTCCTCAAAAGAGAGCTGGAGGGAAGCAAAAACCATAACAGGCATCATGGCGAAAAGAAACCCATATATATATATATATATGATGTGAATTTCATTAAGAGAGGAAAAATCTGTTAAAAAATATCACTGAATCTGTCTTAATGTAGGTGTGATTTTTTTTCTGCATCAGGCTCTGACTGGGCCAAAATTTCACCTGGAAGGTTTAATGATTAAACAGAATAAATACGTGTGTAATTCTAGATGTGAGAATGCAACTAGGGGGATTAGGTTCACATGCACATCAACTCTTGGATTAGAGCTGAAGTGTTGCAACCACTCACACAAACCAGTGCTACACCCTCCTCTTTTGTCACTTTATCGTTTTGTTTTTTCTTCCTCTAATAAATACTCTGAGTTTAAGCAGAAGACAAACATGTCAATCAGCATTATATGTGAAGCTTTTATCTCTCCTTTATGATTTTTAGAACTGTATGTTTTACGTTTGCTGATTTATGTTGCGGTTGGCGAAGGACATTCCTTTCCTTTTGCTTGGCCAGCTCCACTAATTTTCACTTTTGTTCCTTGTCTGTTTTTTTTTTTTTTAACGTCTTTATAAACTCTCTCACTGTGGACTTGACGACGTTTTGAATTTACTGCAGCTCCGTCGCTGGCAGCTACGAACCAGATGCATTCCAAACCAAAAATGTGTAAATCCTGGAGCAGTTGTGGAAGCGCGGGGTGAAATAATTACAAACATAAAACTGCGTTTCAGTTGACGGCAAGAACATACTGTATAATCCCTATTTCCAAAAAAGATTGAAAGTTTATGAAAAAATAAAACATTTCTATCTGTGACACAAAAATTGATTTTTTGTTTCTTCACTGAACAACTTTAAAATATTAAGATAATACAAGCCAATATTACATTTCTTACATTTTCTCCTCATCTTAGTTACTATAAATATTATTTATCATAATCTTGAGGAGAAACATTTTTTTTTACTAAACATTCTAGCTGCTCAACTTTCAGTCTGAATTATTTGTCTTTTCTCCCAAGACACAGGAGAGACTGCAGGTAGGCCAACAAAAAACAAGCACTTTGCTTTTATCCAAGTTGTGCAGACTGAAGTCTGACATTATCCGGCCGCAGCAACTTCGGACCTTCCAAGAAAGGACACCAACTCAATAWAAGTTTTAGGGTTATCAAATTTCCAGTAAAGGCCTCAGCATCAATTTATGCAAGTCACCCACTTTATTGGAACTGATGCACTGTTGTAACATCCCAGACCCTGGCTTTCCCACTGACAACAAGCTGGATGCTCTTTTCTTTCTTTGGCACGCATGAACCCAACTATCCATTTTTCCAAAAAGAAAGCTGAAACGTGGCCTTGTCCGACCACAAAAGATGAGTCCACTCTCTTTCTGTCCATGTGAGATAAGCTTTATGACTGGAAAACTAAACCACGGCTCCATAGTTAATATGCGGAGTCTTTCTGAACCTGTGTGACTGTAAAGGTTGCAGTGGCCTCATGGTTTATTATGCACCTAAAAATCACATTCATCAAAACTGTTATGCACAAATTTCACACAGTTCTCTGAATAAGTTCAACTTATCGTCCACTGTAGAGGTCAATAGACCTACATGTTTTGCAGTTTTGCATAATTAAATATACACTGCTCAAAAAAATAAAGGGAACACTACTGCTCAAAAAAATAAAGGGAACGCAAACAACGCACGCTAAGTCCAAGTAAATCAAACTTTTGTGAAGCACATTCAACTCTGTACAGAACAAAGTACTCAATGCGAATATTTCATTGATTAAGATCGGGAGTTAGCATGCGTTGTTTAAGTGTTCCCTTTATTTTTTTTTTGAGCAGTAGTGTTCCCTTTATTTTTTTGAGCAGTGTATCATTTGACTGATCAAAGATCTTATGAAGTTTGGCTAAGACAATAATCCTTGTTCAGAAATCTGGGTCACAAGGTTTGGATTATGTAGTAGAGACTTGTTTCTTATGAAAATACTCATCTTGAATGATAGTTTATCTTTTTAGTGATATTTTGTGTGAGATGTGTTAATATATAGAAGTCTAAAGTAGTATTTTATTTATATATTTTGTATTTCTTTTTTTAACAAACTAAAAAAAAAACAGGTAAGAAGACAACTAAGATCATCAGTGAAGAAAATGTACTTGTTGTGCTTGAGCCCATATAATGTCCTCCAGGCAGGTAGCAAAGCCTTCGCTGATCCATTCCTCTGTCCAGTCTCTGGCTCCAATCACCAGGCCGAACCAAGAGTGGGCAATCTCATGGCAAATCCTGGACCCACACAGAGACAGGCTTCCCACTCCAAAACCAGTACTTCCAGGACACAACACACTCTGGGACAGGAAAATGATATGGGGGCTGTGAAGGATAAACGACATTAAAGTAAAAATAATGCCAGTAAATATGTTCCACAGTGGTGAAAATACATATATTTTTTACTCTCGATGAAGAAAGTAAATTTTAGGTCTGACAGGAGAACAATTTTCACTGGTAAATGCCTCCCTGCAGCAAAAACTGCAGAGAAAAGCACAGTGCCACTCCTCATTTTTTGAATAGCTGCTACAATAGCTTTGGTGGAAGATACTGCATTCACATTTCTTACCTTTAAATACACACATTATAAAAATCCAAAAGGTATGAATTCAACTATTTAGGGTACTTCTAGTCTCTCTCTACTAAAAATATATAATCTACAAAGACGATTTTTGCAGTTTTTAATAAAAATGGATGTTTAGATGGACAAACCTCAGACTTTTTGAAGGATAAATGATTAAAAACTGTGTAAAATTAAGCTGTGATTTCGGCACTGTGACAGAGGGCGTGACCATTGAAAAGGCTGACTGACAGCTCTCGATGATCCAGACATGAGCTTAGCATTTAATGGCTTCTTCCATAGCACATGCTCCACCTTTTTTATCATGCTTCATGAAGCTTGTCTTGACAGATTTTGTGTAATTTGGCTGAGACGCAGACAGTCCTTTACTACGTATACTTTACCACGTTATACTGGAAACCCAACAACTTTGCAGTTGTTTGTACCAACAAGCTGAAAATTCAGAACTTACAATGAGCAAGAGGCGAGTTTAGTGACTGTAGGTAAAACTTTGACCCAATGACCTTAAATAAAAGTTCATGGATCTAGAATCTGAATACAGTTTATCCTTTGGCAAACYTACAGTATGTCTGGACTAGTCTGTCTGGACAATCCATGCATTTGCTGGTTTTTCACTTGAATGTCATTTAGTTTACACAAAACAAAAAGTCAGGAACTAACTAGTCTGGTTTCATCATTTTAAAGATATCGAACAGACTTAATAMCTTTACAATCAAACCTAAAGTTGGAAACTCACCAAATAAATAACCACAGGTTACACATTAGTGGCCTGAATTAATAATAAAGAATTTATAGCAATAAAAGATCCAACACACATTTTTGAACGGTGTTAGTACTTTCCTGTTAAGTGCTAAAAGAGAACGACCAATCTTAAACCCCTATCAAAGTCAAGGTCATGGCTGGAGACTTTTTCAGGAGTTTTCTTGTTGTTTTTCTTTCCTGTAACAAGCCAAGTACCCTGAGGGGGTTAGGGCCACCTATGTGTGAGAGGGAGGCCATTATTCAATGAAAGAATGAGGAAAAAGGGTCGCAGAGGCGCGGATGAATGGCCTTTTTTTTCTCCTAATCCATATAAAACACTGAATTGTCTAGAGATCTTTTCACACTCTTTAGATCTTAAATGTCCTGACAACCACTGACACAACATGTCAGGGAGAATTTATGGCGAACTTAAGTCCCAAGTAAAAAAAGAGATTTACCACCTTGGTCTTGTGACAAATATCTTAAAGCTGTGTCTGTTTTACAAAAGATTTAACTTCAGTTTTAGTAGTGAGCATCTTCGAGTTGTAGGCTATGTAGACCCCCTTTTAAAAAGTCATGTAAATTAGTTCAAATTCCTGAGACAGCTACAATTAACTTGCCTGATGCATCAACAGTTTATTCCCACAAGCTAAAATGAGCCTCACGCACTCTTTCTATTGATTAATTACAATGACTATAAAATGACTTGATGTCATCAAGGGAAGATTAGCATCTCAAATTACCAGAGGAGTTAATTTTTCCCTCACCATAACCCAATTACAGTGACAAGATAAGTTGATTATGAGGAAAAACAAAGAGTAGACATGGGTTAGTTTGGCTCTATTTTTAGGGAAAACAAAATCGGATATCTGAGCAACACCACTACGCTTTATTTCCCTGAGGATTGCTACATCAGATAAAAAGGACGTGGCCCTCTGTTATTTAGGAACATGTCAACCTCACAGAATGGGGTCTTATGGGCTTTATTTCTGAGACAGTATCTCAACTCTAATTCCATGTTTTATCCTGATTATTCAAACAAAGGCTCTCAGTGGAGCATAAGATGCTAACATTAGCCTTATAAGTTTCTTTGTAGCCTAATCTTCGCCCCCCCACAATTAAATAGGCTCCTCTTTGTTGTCAGTTTCAGCACCGTGTTTGTGTGCGTCTCTGTGTGTGCGTCTCCGTGTGTGCGTCTCTGTGTGTGCGTCTCTGTGTGTGTGTGTGTGAGGTAGTGAGCGTGAAACACAAAGACAGCTTTTCAGAGACGGCGCTTGCACATGTTCCTCTGAGGGAGACGGAATCCATCACTACAGTGACAAATAGTGTCATCCCACCATAGTGGTGATGAATAACAACAGCATCTTTCACGTTCGCTGATACACTGACTGACATTGGCTGACATTAGGGAACTGTGAGGGGTACATGCATGACAAGACTCTACAGATCCATGCATATGTAGTCCCCGTCGCTGGGAGTATCTTTTCTTTATCTTTCATTATTATATAACCTAATAACTGATCTAAAATGTGTGTGTGGGTTGAAGGGGGATGACGACCAATTCGAAATGGCCACATCAATCATAAAACCTTAAAGGGACACTTCAGATCTTTTGAAGTGAGGTTCTGATTAATGGTTATGAATAATTTATATCTTACCTGCTGAAAATCACGCTTTGAAGGACCGCCATTTGGAGAACTAGAGTTTAATTCAGTCGGATGAGCTAATGGCTAGTCTGAATGTAGTAGTTACACTGCAGGCAGTTACACATTTTATGGTTATACCACAAGTTTATAGCAGGGATCCCCCACCTTCTGTCATTACTGGGAGTTGAAGCCAGCAGGACCCAGATTATGGAAGTTGTCATGTTGTAATTTTGGAATCAGATTCTGACCTTAAGCCCCGCCCATTACTCTGTGCATAATCATGACGTTACATAAACTCTCTTTAAAGGGAGTCATATTTTTCAACTCATTAAGTTTTCTCTATTCCTTATGAAGTTTTCTGAACTATTACGTCTCAGTATTTGCGACAGAACTTCTAAATAAGGTCTGGACTTACCAACTACAATCTGGTCATCTTCATTCTCCTTTCTCTGGGTCAGATTCTGGCTCCAACATGTGAGGCTGGATGGATCAGTCTTCTCTGTTGACATCTTTTAATTCATTTGTAAATAAAAAGTTTATGTGCTGCTATATAGTCATGTCTCTGCTATCAAACCACAGTGAACCACTCTGGAAGATGGAGGGGGAGCAAGGTGTGATGTGTCTCATTTGCATTTAAAGAGAAAGCATCAAAACGAGTTTCTTTTTGAGACTCACCTCAAAAAAAGAGGTGAAAGAGGGGCTTGTGGAGTTACAGTAGGAATTCAGACCAAAGCATTGGAGTTCCACTTCATATATACCTCAACTGAATGATTTAAATGTGAAAAAATGATTTAAAAGCATGATAAGTCTACTTTAATAAAGCTATGCTTAATAAATGAATGTTCCTATTGGCCCAGGCGTGTGTTTGCTTACCTGGGCTCTAAAACTTTTTTTTAATTACTACAAGTGGTGGAACAAACTGCCATTAGGTTGTAATCAAGACGAACATGTAGTTCTTTTCCTTTGAAGAATGAAATGTCCACTTCCTGTCTCTTGTTTGGATGGGAAACATTGATTCGTGTCTCATGCAATTTGATCTACTGTAGATTGCCTTCGTCTGTTGTCTTTTAAAGCTCAGAGACAAAGCTGCYTAAACACAGTAAAAACACACAATACACGTTAGCCATAAGGCCAAAAGAGCAATGAATTCATGTCCTGGTAAACTTAACTGATCACAACGCGGCTGGTTGAACATAAATTCATAGATAAATACCTTCGTAGGGGTACCACTTTGGATGGCAGAACCCCAATGGGTTTTCACACGCAAAATGAAAAACCGATTAAAAAGCCTCTTGTGCTTTCGAACATTACAACTTCATGACTCTGAATCACCAAGTGTAGCCTGGCCCTGAGCGTCAGAGGTGTGAGCTAGGGCAAATCTTCAATTTAGTGAGAAACAGATTGCAGTAGTGTCTTGCTTCTCCATCTCTCCATCCATTATTCATCCCTCATTCCTTCATTACTGGCTGTAGGCCATTTTTCCCCCAGCGGGACACTTCCATGCATAATGCAGCACAAGCCCTATCATAGTCCTGTAATTGACATCCGCAACCCAGCTCAGGCCATAGCTGGGACAACAACAAAAAGAGCCCCATGAGAGGAGAATGAGGAAAAAAGATGATGAGGGCAGAGTGTGTATACTGTAAGTGTAAATCAGAGTGTAAGAATAAGAAAGATTTGTTAAATACGACTGAAAATTAACATAACACTGTAGTGAATAAAAAGATGTTCCGATAACAATTTATGGAGAAAAAACCCCAGAGAATCCAGTAGGGGAAATTGAGAGGTTTTTTTTATTCTGATAAAATGTGTGATCAGTTTCTCTCTCAAAGTGCATGGTCATCTCAACCACACCTGGGTCGTCTCCCTGGTGTGTTTACTATTCACAGACTGAACCAGAATGAAACAGACGCTGTTGTCAAATAACTGCATACCCAGAAACAGGCAAACACTTTTAGGACAGAGCAGTAGAAAAGTCTACAAACRAACCATGCAAGACAACAAACACAAAATATAGCTGAACGCAGCATTTTTTGTATTTCAATCCATTAGGATTTGTACAAAGAAGTTTAGTGCAGAGTGGGATTAGAATAGCTGCAAGAAGGCTTGAGATACACTCCTTCAGAATAGGTTATTATTATTTTTTATCATTTCATTCCTTATCAAAATGTTGGGTTTGAAGTAGACCTTTAATGTTACAGTATATTAAAAGCTGGGGGACTTTTTTAAATAAAAGTCTTTGGCATGATTTGAAAGCTTAACACCCAAAAAACAACTCCAATTCTTTTAAACCAGAGGACAAATTTTTATAAACTTCAGCACATTAATTCAATGTCATTTTTCTTTAGTTGAATATG